ACCCCAAAACCCCAAAACCCCGTTAAGAAAAATTAGCAAAATGATGTGAATATTGACTGTGGTTTAAATAGAAATTCAATAAATTATACAAATTTAAAATGCCCTAAACTGAAGGAACAGAGCATGCACTCAATGAAACCAGGTACTTTCAAAACGAGAATAATAAGCAAGAAAATACAGGATTGGTTGTTGATGATTAATAAAAAATGTAGCAATTTGAGGAAAATCTAAATGACCAAATCAATCGAACTCTTTAGAAAGCTTCTAGAGCCTTTGAAATTAAACTTAAAGCGTAATCTCATCCTCATCTAATAAAACTAAATATTAAATTTAAGGAACTTTACTTATTAATATTTTCGTTAGGAAACGAAGAAGACAGAAAACTTAGAGTTTTGAAGATTAGGAGAAAGCAATAAACAAGCAGCTGAAGATAATTGATACAATAGTCGCAGTAATAGCTATTATAATTGGTGTTGTAACTTATAACGAGGGTGAAATAGCCTTAGATATTGCTAATTAAAATATCATGAAGCAAATACAAAGTGTGAATACAGCAAGCTAAATAGTGATCACTAATGTTACAAGTTGGTACTAGGATGTATTTTATGTTTCGAATGGAGACACCGATAGATATCGAATGGCTATAGTAATTTTCACATTTATACTGGGTAAGTTACTCTACTTTTTATTACTATACATAGACAGTCTAATCTTGATAAGATACCAAAGATAACTTAAAAGATTAAAAATTCTTAGATTGATACCTCCAAAAACTGGGTGTTGGAAAGCTGGACTTGTGCCAAAATTAGTAGCAGAATTAACTATATGCTCAACAATATCTCCTCCAGGTGTTAATTTCACATTTAGTGGCACTCTTGATGGCGGAACTTACAATTATAGGTAAAGTTATCTTTACAAATTCATTAAACTTTTAGTTTTGATGCCGTCATGAATATCATTGCTTTACTCAAAAGTTATTTGATAGTAAGAATTTATTGGCATTACTGTTCCTGGAATACTAACAGCGCCAAAAAAACAGCTAAAAGACATGACCATAAAATAGATCTTCAATTTGCAATTAAATCTGAGCTAAAGTATCGACCTTTTGTTATGATTGGGTTCGTCATGATAGTATCAATCTTTTATCTAGGCTTTATCATTCGTACTGCAGAATTGTAATAATCTATTTTTTTTATTAATTGTAATTAGACCTTTTAAAAACAAAGACGGGTAAGATCAAGTGAATAAGTTCTAGCCAATTATGAACTCAGCATGGCTCACAGTCATTACAATGACTACAGTTGGCTATGGGGATCTATATCCTTCAACATTTTTCGGCAGATTCTTCGGTGTAATGTCTTTCATTATTGGAAATGTTCTCATATCACTGATAGTTGTAGTGCTTTCTAACGAAACTAATTTCCAGCCTGCAGAGGCAAAGGCTTACAATACTTTAAAAAAAGAAATGGCAAAAGACAAAGCATTTGGAAGAGCTGCTGATGTCATTAGGACATCACTTAGATTGTATAAATCTAAAATCAGAAGAGATGGTAGAAGCTTCTCCTTAAGATTCGTTTTTTATACAGAACTCAAATCTTAGATTAAACTTTTCAAGAATGTTAGCAAGTAAGCTGAGAGTCATACATTGCCAGCTGCCACATTAATCACCAATATGAAGACTAAACATTAAGAAGACATGGAGACTATTAAAGAGGCCTATGATGAAGGGCCTTAAATAGCAATGAGACTGGAATCCCTCCAGGATAGAATAGATAGGATGGATAGAGCGATGAGTAGAATCTCAAATATTGAGCGAAGACTCGCATTCTTCTTTCTGGATCTTAATAACAAAGTGTATGACTAGGAATTGAAGCTAAAAGAGCTTTAGAAAGAAAAGGAAAAGCTTCAAGCAGTTAATGATATAAATGGAAACCCAAGTACTAAAATAAAGAATCATATCCAATAGATTTAGCAATAAAATTCATGATGCTTTTGCATAATAAAAACTGATTTTCAGAAATTTAATCTTAATTTCATAAATTTCTGATATTTTTGTAAAGGGGTTTTGGGGTTTTGGGG